AAATTTTACCAAATGACTCTGATCACGAATCTGTTTGCAAAAACAGACGTGTTTGTGAACTGAGTATTACTGTATTTATTTAGAATCATAGGAGAGAAGAAAATGGGAGCCAAACACAATGTTTGAAGAGGTAATGCCTGAGAATCAATCTTCCTTTTTTTCTTGCATATATTTGTTGTTTAGAATACACTCACTCTCACACTCTTTTGTGCCACAGCAACTAAGGGAATTTCTTAGTGGACCCACAACTATTATTTTATAAGGCTTTTGTCTTAGAAGCTAAAACAATTCCTTTACTTTATCCTTCCTTCTCAGATGGCTGAGAATTTTCCAGAACTCATGAACCATGTCAGTCCATATATTAAGAGGCAAGGTAAATTCAAAGCATCATAAACAAATACATTTTAAAGTCTACAAGATAAAAAGCAGCCATAGAAAAAGACCCCATTACTTTACAGAAAGTAGTAGCCCTAGTTACATGATTTTGTACAAGCAACAACAGAAGTCAGAACAAATCTTGGAATGATTTTTGTGTACTCCAACATAAACTGCATTTGTCACATCTTCTCTTGATTCTATTACCTTCCTTGTTCACTTACAAGGACTCCAGACAATCAAAGAAAATCTTTCGAGGACTTCCAGGAGAACATGGCGGACAGATAACAGCAACTACCGGAGGCTCTCTGAAAAACTAGGCTCAGAAGCCAGGAATGGTGCGGACTAAAGAGAATAAGCAGGTGGAGATATGCTCTGCTGATTCAGGAACGAACTGGGCTGAGAGAAACCAACTTGGAATGCAGTCCTGGCGCTAAAACAGGAACAGAAAAGCCTCAGTGTGGAGGCTGGACCCCACGCCATTGGAAGCCGTGATTTGGGTTTCCCGCCACGCGGTGGCTGGCTGCCTCTACATCGGCTCGGCAAGGAGAGAGATGCGCAGAAGCTGTGAGAACGGCAATCTGTGAACGGAGTCGAAAACAGGACGGGCAAGGAGGTGTGCACCGACTAGTGGTGAGGTGAGTGAGAGAAACTGACACTCCACCACAGTTTGACTCCAGTGGAGGACTTTCTGGGCTCGGGCAGTCCTGCGGGAGCAGGGCGCGGTGGCGACTCCAGCCACACATCCCCCTCTCGGGCGGGATTGGTGAAAAGTGCCTGGCCTGCGTGACGCTGCCAGCGGACCCAGTAGGCTAACCCAACCCAGATCCCAGATCCTGAGGGTGGCTGGGAGCGGTGGGCCCCGCGTAGGCTGCCTGGTGAGCAGTGGTGAGCAGGAACACCTAACCGGCGCAACTCGATCAGGCTGTGGCTGACAGGGAGAGAAGCTGGGCCCCTCATATAAGCTTGCATATATAAGAAACAGAGAATATGGGAAGAGGCAGCAACAAGAAAGGCTCCTCGGCCCCCAATTCTGAGAAACAGGCAATAGCGGACACCGCACCAATAGACATTAAGCGCCATATAGAGAGCCTCATAGACCAATTCAGGAATGAAGTTATCAACGACCTAAAGCTAGAAGTATGCAGAATAGTTAGAGAAATGCTAAGCACCACCCAGGAAAAAACAGATGGTGGAATGGAAGAACAGAAAAAGAGGGGAGAATCGTTTGATGGAGAAAACAGAGAAAGCGTAGAGTACGTGAAGCAGGTGCAAAGGGACTATCAAAAAACTAAGAAGTCTATCCAAGACTGGCATAACAGCTCGAAAGAAACTAAGGACAGACTATCTGATCTGGAGGGCAGACTTGTAATATGGGAGAATGAAATGAAAAACTTCTTAAAAATAACAAAGAAAAAAACAGCAATAATACAAAGACAAGAAGATGATAAGAGGAGCCATAACTTAAGGATTAAGAACATAAAAGAAGAAGTAGGGACACAAACAAATGAACTACAAAACCTACTCACAGAAATAATCCAGGAGAATTTTCCTAATTTAGCAAAAGGTAAAGATACTCAGATGTATGAGGCATATAGGACCCCAGCTACCTACAACCCAAACAGAGAAACACCCAGGCATATAATAATAAAAATTCCAGAAATTCAATACAAGAACAGAATATTAAAAGCTGTAAGAGACAAGAAACAGACCACTTACAAGGGAACACCCATCAGAATTACAGCAGATTTCTCTGCACAAACCATCAAATCACGAAGAGCATGGGGGGAAATACTTCAAGCTTTGAAAGATAATAATCTCCAGCCAAGATTGAGATATCCTGCACAACTGTCCCTGGAAATTGATGGAAAAAAAAGGTGCTTCCAGGATAAAGAGGAACTGGGAGAATTTGCAACCACCAATTCAATTCTACAGAAAGTATTGCAGGATATTCTAAAAAAAGAAAAATACAAAGAACCCAGAAATAGTGGTGGGGAGGCCACAACGAATGGAGCAGAGAACAAAATGAAGAAGACAAACTGACAGCTACTGACAGAAAAAGAGCTCAACAGAAATGAGACAGAGAAGATTGGATGATAGGAACAGCTATTTTGGAGAAAATGACATCTTAATAGGTAATACTGATTTAGTATCATCTTGTTTTGAAGTCTCATCTAGCTTTTGTTCTTCTGTCTCCAATGGTCCAAATAGGTTGTATCTTATTGGATTTTATTATGTACAATAGTATAAGCAAAAACCTTTTAAAGACAAGGAGATTATACAGAAACCATTGTTCATTTTCTGTTAGTCGATTCTAAATACTCTGTCATGCTGTCATTCTCTTAAATGGTTTTACATTGTTTTGATATACTTAATGCTACAGTATACGAAGTTGTACTCAAGGACTTCAAGGAAACAGTCAATATGGTAACTACTTTTAGGTCGGAATTATCTGGTGAAACACTATTCTGCTTAAATGGTTATGTTTTGATCTGCGCTGTTTCGCTGTTATGCCCTCTTTTATCTCAATCTCCACTCCATTATTTACTTTTTAATTTTTTTTATCCATTTAATTAAAGGGAAAAAATAGCAGGATATATTATAGTAACCCACTTTGACTTTCTATTATCTCGATTTGAAGCCCTGTATTACTCTCACCATCTTGTTTTTATTTGATGTTCCCCTATTCTGTTTTGCTGGATAGTATCAGGTTCGAAAGTTTAGGCATCAGCTGTGAAGATAATGAGATTCATTATAACACCCATTCTCGTTGACTTTTATCTACTTTTGAAGACCTACAATGTCTCCAATGTTTTGGTTTTGTCGGTTTTGTTCTTTATTGTTTTGTTCAATTGTATTATAACTAATGATATAGGCAATTCTATTAGAGATAGCGGGAGGCATTATGGTAACCATTGTTGATCACCTTGTATTATGTTTTTACATTATCTATTATGTCCACCCTTTTGACTTGACCGATTCTGTTCTGTTATGTCACATTTGGTTTTACTCTCTTCCAAAAAAGCAGTAAGAACCGTGGGAGCAATGAAACCCAAAATGTGTAATAGTCATTGTACAAAAGAGAGGAAAAGAAAGTGCTCTAAACTATATAACTGCATATATATTTAAGTGTATGATAGAAAATGGTATCACAGAGTTTTATTGCATCATTGAACAGAACTGTTTGCAGTATCATTGTTGGAGTGTCCACTCTACAAGCTTTAATTTTGTGACTTGAACAATTAATTCTAAGATGGCAATATGTAATCCATTAACTAGTGATTTCCTACTGTTCATTTTTTTTCCTCTGTAAATCTGTATAACTTGTACCCTTTCACTGTTTTTTTCTTCTTTTCTCCTTAAATAAAAAAAGTAAAAAAAAAAAAAAAAGAAAATCTTTCTATCTCAAGAATCTTAATTTAATATATATGCAAATTCTTTTTTACTTTGTAAGTTAACAACATATTCACAGGCTCCAAAGATCAGGATATGAACATCGATGGTGGGCCATTATTCTGCCTACCATACCACCAATCTAAAAAATGCAATCATTCTTGAATAGCTCTTTTTCTCAATAATGCTTCATGAGAAGAATACAAATCAGTATTTCCAAGCACTTTGCATATTAACAGTATCTTAATCTACCATCAACCTGCAAACTTGGGGAGGGAGATATTACTACATTCTGATATTAAAGATTGAAGATGAAAGTAATTTGACTGAGGTCATCTAGCTAAATGCCTGACTAGAAGTTTGAGCCCATGTTTAAGTTTTTTGTACCATATCAAGCTGTTGCTTGGCTTACTATGATTTTTGGCCAGTACCTGAAGAAACACTTTCTAATACGACAGGTTTTTGCATGCATTAGGAAGAAAAAATATGGGTGTAGGAGGGGGAAGGTTTTAAACTGGAGTGATATCTTTGAATAAAGTTTGAGGGCAAAAAACGTTAACTTTACTGTCCATGGAACTGTGGTTAAATGACTTAGATTTCTCATCTGTAAAACGCGATGTTTACATGTAATGAAACTCTTTTTTAGATCCCTCCTGGGTCGGACATTAAGAGAGAAGCTTTGGCTTCAAAATACTCTTCCTTGGTGTGTGAATAAGATGAAGTTAGAAGCATCTAAACTCTGCAAAGAAAATCTTTTATATATCAAAGGAGGAAAAAATGAAAGTTAATGAAGGACAGCAGGAGAGATGAAAGGAGCCAAAGACTACACTGAAAATTGAGATGCAACTATAAAGAGTGCAAATAAGTCAAGATATTTACCAATATCTAGCAGTTAACGATGTAAATAAAATTCTAAGGACCTTAAGATGCAGAACTAATAAGATCCTGTTCTTAATCTTGAGAAGCTCACAGAAAGCCCGGAGGGTTACATTTGGTTTTTGATCGTGGACATCTTTTAAACCCTGGACATGAAAACTGGAAATGATTTTTTTTTTTAATGTGTGTGTGTGTGTGTGTGTGTGTGTGCTAGAGGCCACGTGAAATTCTCCGGAAATAAGCGGGAGCCACTGATAACCCGGACCCGCCCCTGGAACTAGGGAACCGCAATCCTCTACCTGCCCCCAGGCCTAACCCCGACACACAAAAGAAAGAGCCTGGCCCTCCGCCCTGCTCGCCTACCCGCCCACCGGCCCACGGCCGAGCTGGGCCTCTGAGCCCCTTCGGCCCACCGCCCCCCTGCGTCCTCGGCCCTCGGAAGTGACGCAGCGCGCCCCGCCCCCGCCGCCAGATCCGCTGCTGCTCCGCGGCGGGCGGACCTGCAGGAGGCGGCGGCAGCGGCGGCTCGGCCGAGGGAAGATGGCGGACGGTGTGGACCATATAGATATCTACGCGGATGTGGGCGAAGAGTTCAACCAGGTACGTGAGCGTGCGGGCCTCCCCGCCGACGCGGACGGTGCTGCGGCCTGGACGCCGCCCCGAGCCTGCTGCGGGCCACGAGCCGGCGCGGCTGCAGACCGTGCGCCCCTTCCGCCTCCGGCCCGCGCCGCCCACCTCGACCCCGGACCTGGACCTGGCGCGGCGCCCTTCGGCTCCCGTGGTAGACCGCGCCGTTTTGCGGGCCGCGGGGCCTGCAACGCGCCCTCGGGCCGCCGCCAGCCCTCCCGCCCTGCGGCCTCACGCCCCATTGTTGGCGGCGGCCCGCGGGCGCTTCCCGCCGCGCTAGGCCCGGAGGCCGGGCCGCGTGTGCGCCGGCCGAAGAGGCAGCCCCGCGGGGCTGGCCCCGCCGCCCGGGCTCCGATTCCTACCGCCGCTCCATTTTGTCTCCCTGTCCGCGCCCAGTCGCCTCATGGAAGGCCGCGTTCAGATCCCTTTGTATCCCGCGCGCCCGGTCTCCTGGGCTCCTGTTCGCGTTTGCGACAGGTTTCGGCGTGGCGCTTTCCTCCACCCCTCTTCCTGCGTGGAAGTGGCTTCGAGGTGGGCACGTCTGCAACAAGTCCTTTGACTTTCGGACCCATGGATCGGTTTTTAAAGGCTGCGCGCTTGCCTGTTTTATGTATTGAGGTCTTGCAATGCCTTTGAGGCCCAGTTGTTCTTGGCCTTTGTGATGAGAATGAATACCTGTGAAAATAAATGGCTCGGGCCAAAAGGAAGACTTAGAAGCTCGGTGGTTGAACAAAAAGGTGGTAGCTCACCAGCAAAGCAGAGTGATAAAATGAAAGAACACTTACCCGAAGGTCTTAAGGTATGATTGAAAAATAGAGTTGCAGAAATGACCTTGTTTTTGAAAACAAAGTGTTTATCCCCCGAGGGTGCTGCTTTACCTTTTGAAAGGCTGGAGAAAGTGAGAATGTACGGTTTTTCCGGTATCTCAGAAGCCACGATTGCCTACAGCTAACTGCCGAGCTATGTTTGATGCTGTAGTAGCATCCTTATTTGTTACTAGAGAAGTGACGTTTAAGCTGTAAACCTTCTGTTCACATCTTCACTGCATTTTATATAGTAAAATTTTTTAAAAAGACAGATTTTTGCTAACCGTAATGAATCTAAAAGCTTTTTTAAAAACTATTTTCCAGGTCCATGCGAGAACCGTAATAAAATTCCATTGGTTAATTCATCCCACCTTTCCATTAAGTCCAATTTGTGACTAGAAGTTAAGATTTTTAAAAATATGGGAACTCAGAAATCTTCACTGTTTTCCAGAATGACCTTGTGACTCAGATCTAAATATTAAGAAAGAAAAGCAATTTTCATTAGGCTGTAAATGTTTACTACACTGTTAAAAAAACTCGGATACGTTTAAATGTAACCCATTGTAATAAAACTGTTAGGTTTGAAAATCTGTTTTTACTGAGCTTATATTTTGAATACTTCTCTTGAGTGATGACGATTCTAATGCTTTTAAGCTCAGTAGACAAAAGATCTCTAGGAAATTTCCTTTCACTTATCAAGTGAGCGTTAACATCACATCCAAAAGACAGCCATAACTGCAAGTAAGGCAACAATTAAGTACATTGTTTGTAAAGGAGCTCTTAGATGCTTCCTCTTCAGAATTGCTTTTCGTTTGTCGATTTTGTGTCGATTCTATGTGTTTGCTATACACAATGATTACATTCCTCATGGGAATTGCTCCTTGTACATAACACGTTTTTCGTTCTCTTCCCCTTTTTTCCATCCCCTCTCCCTCCATCTTTTGGTCTCCTCCCTTTGCAAAAGATTTGTCCCCAAGTTTTCTATTATCTTTTATTTTGCTCTGAAGTTTTTGTGAAATTAAAGAATTTAAGAAAAAAAGTGTTCAAGATCATTTTTATTAGCTGTTCTACAAGAAAATGTATTCCTTTATCTTTCTTTGCACAGTAAGGAAGCTAAGCTTTTTTCAGTATCTCTTTATGAAATATTTTTGGGTTTTTTATGTACCTAATTTGGAAGAGACATCTCCTTTACCCTGATAAGTGGATGGAGTGATGCTTTCTTATCTTTGTGCAGTAACTGTTGCTAAGCAGGAGGTAAGAAGAGATTAAAATTTTGTGGGCCCAGTGAAGATTACATTATAGGGGTTTTTTAAATGTAACTCTTGTACTTACAGAATTACAGCTAATGCAGTTGTATAATTTTAACAGTAAAGTTTTCATGTTTGAATAGATTGATAGAAAAATTAAGTAGAGACATTATTTTGTACATGATTGGTCTTTGTAGTCTGCTTGCTTTGTTAATTCCTAAACACCAATAACAAAATGACCACAAAAAGATTGGTAGTCATTGTTAAGATTTATTCTTTTTTAATGTTACTGTCAGAAATATTTTTATCATTGTTTATAGTTGATTAAAAGGTTTTAAGGTACCATTACCTAGTCTTTTATCTTGGCTTCTAAGCTCCTGTAAATATTTTAGAAAATTTTTAATCTCCAGTGTGAGCTGCAGTTCTAATTGCAGCAGAAATTTTGATAACTTTAGTCATTTATTTCCCATTTTCCACTGTTTTAAATAGTTACCCTTTCAGGAAATTTTTTGAAATGTTGGTGTAAGCACAGTATTCAAAAAGTGAAGCCTCTGGTAATCTTAGAAGAAATTAGTTTGGGGATTGAGTGAAGAAAACATTGATGAAACTGGTAGATTTTTTTTTTAACCAAATAAATTTAAATTGAATAGAGAATGAAGATGGGCAGTATTACAAGGGATTGATTATTCTTCACGGGTCCTGTTTAGTTCTGAATTGAAGGTTTTTGGATGTCTCCAAATTAAAAATAGTTTAAGGTTTAGTAGAATTGCTTCTAAAGCTCTACTTTATTTGCAGTTGATATACTTTATCAGTTTACTTTGGACTAGGATTTGAATTCAGTTGTAGTTCACTGGCCTAGTATTTAGTAGTTTCAGACTTTACTTTGACCCAAGCTAAATAATAATTTAAAATATTAAGGTTCAAAATAATGTTAACTCAAGAATCCTACCAGCAAGAGATATCATAGTCTCTACTCTTGGAGTATGCTATGGGGTGAAGGTGAAAGACAATTACATAATTACAACATATTGACAAGTCCTTTATTGTAGCTGCTACTCCTGTGTCTGTAACTGTAGAATTTTATTTATAGTGGAGAGGTGAGGATCAAGAGAAATTCTGTGAACTCAGGTTGTGAGTTCATATTTTGGAATATTTGTGTAGACTTACCAGTTGAGCATCCCTAATCTGAAATCAGAAATCCTTCAAAATGTTGACACTAAAAAAGTTTTGGATTCTTTTGATTAAGGATGTTGAACTTGTACTCTGTATTGAGGTGATTTGTATTTTGCTTGTTTGGAGGTCAAAAGCTGTTATGTAAAATTTTAACTTCTGGTTTGTCAGGCTTTGGCTGACATATTGATAGCAATTTGACCACCCCAACTTTAAGTAAACAGAGGTAGTAGTGTAGGTGGAAAAAAAATTAATTTAGGAGTTAAGGACCTAGTCATCCTCAAGTCAGCTTTCATTTCATGAATCATTTTGCTTTATTAGTCATTATTTACTCTAGCCAATTGTTTAGCCAGTTATAGAAAATAGGTTTATTGGACAAAAATTGGTGCAGCATTTTCTGTGATAGTTTATGTTTAATAGACAATGGTTTGTGATAAGTTTGTAAGATTCATAGTGAGGTTTAAGTAGATATTGATTCAGACACATGGATAGAAAGTGTTTCGGGGAGTTAGAATTCGTCAGTTGGATTTTATTGTTTATGAGCCTAGTTAATTTAGCTGCCTATTAGTTATGCACTTTGTGGTTTGTGTGGCATATTTTAAGCATTAATTCGGCTTCCTCACTGTTGAGCTTCTTACAGGGATTATAAACTGATTCTAGTATGTACTCAAAACATAATCAGAAAGTGGTGTTTTCTTAAATACAATTAGTCTTCTGTATCCATAGGTTCCACAACCACAGATTAAATGAACCACAGAAATAAAATATTTAGGGTAAAAATTGTATCTACTGATTGTGCAGACTTTTTCTTAGTATAATAATTTACATAGAGTTTACAACTGCTACTTACATAGCTTAAATTATATTGTGTTGTAAATAACCTAAAAATGACTTAAAATATAAGAAAGGATTGTGTTGCTTATGTACTATATTACATCAGCTGCAGATTGTGGGATGCTTGTACCAGCTTGAGAGTAATATGCTGGAATATATGCCCTGTTGTTAATACAGTGGAACAACTGTTATGTATTAGGTTATATACAGTTGGATTTTGTGTTAGTATTTCTCTTTTGTGGTGTAGAATGCATTTTGTTAAATACAAAATGCTACCCTCTACCTCTTTTATTTTTTTAAATGGACATGATTGTTATATCCTGGGGTTTTTTTTTTTTGTTATTATTGTTAGATTGGCTTTGAAACATGACCTTTATTGTGTGTTGTTGATAGTATCCTACAGAGTGCATATGGTATTAACTATAATTTTAGGGCTGTTAAGAGCAATATTGGAGCTGTGAAGGAGAATGAATAATACCTTGATAGCTCTGTTGGTGGTACCAATAATGTCATATAGTATATGTGTGATATTAAACTTCTTATAAGGATGTTTAGGGAAAAACTCGTAGTGATGAAGCTTGAGAAACAGTGCCTTCAGGGAGCTAATAGGATATTGGTCATTTTTCTATTCGTTTTATTTTTAAGTGCTTTTTCTGTCTAGGCAGCAGCTATTTGTATATCACATAAAACAGTACTAACTCAGTTAAAATGAGAAGTAATAATTGAAAACACGCTTCACATAGAACTTGGCAGTATTTGACTATTTTTCCTTGACAAAGTAGAAATCTTTGTTTTTTATTTGTTCAATTTTTCAGAGCTCTCTTTATATGTGACCTGTGATGGACATTTTGCATAATTTCAGAATGTGCATATTTCTTGATTTTAGTTGAAATGAAATTGGATGTATTCTGTATTTTTAATATGAAAGATAAATACAATATTATGAAGCTGAAAACAAGTTACTGATACTACAAGAGTTAAAATGCTTTGAGTTGCGTTTTTAAAATAATGATGGCAAATGTATTTAGATTACTTAATATTTTTTCATAAAGTCCAAATGTATACTGTTTGGGGCCTTGAGACACAGTGAAGCTAATTAGTTCACCAAGAGCTCAAACTCCAGGATCGAGGTCTCATTTAGCATCATACTTCTGGTCCAACTACCAGACAAAATGGCTGATTCTAAGTATTGGTTTAAGGGTATCAGTGTGGAAAGTGAGTTGTCAGTGTAGGAATTCATAGACATATAAAAAATAGTGATTTTAATACACTGTTACTGTAGCTGCAATTAATGCTTGTAAATTATTGTCTACTTACATAAATTTTTTCAGATTTACAATTAAAGAAAACAGTATCTTAACCTGTTAGTGTAAGTAAAAGTATAAATTTGAATGTTTAGCTTTGCTATTAATTCTTACATTCTTTTTTACTCTTCCTCAGACCATATATTGTGGTTCGTCTTTGCTTTTAGGATGGAAACAACTCCTTTTGAGTAATAATTCTACTTGTACAGAATGAGATTGTCAAGAGCTTAAAGTGTTCACTACCCCTTGTGGGAAGCTTTGTAGTATCTTAAATATATGAAATTACTGTTGGTTGCATCCATACCACCTGAAACTTTGTAACAAAATTTAGCCTCATTTTTTTTTAACTGTCACTACAATTTCAGTATATTTAATACTTAGGGACTATTGTGTACAAACAACATAAAGTTAGTGGCATTACTTATGATTTGTGGTCTTAGTTTCTTCTCTTTGGTAAAAGTGATTTTGTTCTCTGACATAACCTTAGTATTCTGAATCCCTTGTGAAATAAGTATTACAGAATTGTGCATTATGACAAATGAAACTGAAATGTAAAAATTCTTCCATATAATTAGTAAATTGGACAGGTCATTTAGGAAGATTATCTAAGGATGACATTACATACTTGATGTCTGAATATGTGTATGAATTTTTTTTTCTTTGCTCTAAGTCATTTTCTTTTTGGTTTCTTGTTAAAAATATCTTACTCAGGCTGTTTTTTTGAGTAACAGAAAAATAGCCATGCTCCCATAGTCTCTTATTGATCTGTTCTCCATCATACACATGTTTTCTCTTGGTCGTTGTCTGCATACTGGTCCCTGAAACTTATCACTTCTTCTTAATTTGTTAATAAATTGTATATACTGAATTGTGTCTCAGCAGTTAAGGCATCTTGTAATTCTTTTTCCTTTTATTGCAAATGTTCTGCTTCAGAAGAATAAAATACTTCAAATTGATTTGAGCTACTTTGGAGTTTTATCTCTGCTACGGGCTTAGTCAGGCTTCTGAGCCAGTAGTGGTTACCAAAGGCAATCAAATGGTGGTGTGTGTTGTGCTAATACCTATACTGCATTTTTCTTGTGTTTGTCATTCTTTTGATTTTGAACTGTTTACCTATTTCATTTTTTATTTTCTTTATTCCTTGGTTATCATTTTAGACATGTCAGTGATATCACTAGATTGCTTTAATTCTGTTGGTGAAACTTAATGGCCAAAGGTTTACTAGGTCTGTATTTGAATACTTTTTGCTAATCTATTTGACTAGACATCTAAGAAGTCAGGTAAGCACTGGCTTTTCGTTGACCAAGAATATTATTGTGAGATACTAATTTGGATAGCTCTATGTATATTTCATTAGTTGTTTCTGTAGATCATTTGTCATTTTTCATCCCTTTTCTGTGGCTCAGTTTACTTTTCTTTTTCTGAAACTATTAGCTTTTTCAAGATTAACAGCAAGAACTGAATACCACAGAAAATAGTTGTTCTTTGTCGTGATTAAACACTGAAAACCTACAATAGCTCTGATTTTTTGTTTGTGGTACTCTTTATGTCAAATATTTTAAGTTTTCTACTTGAATTCATATATTATTAAGAATATTTTACTTCTAAAAAAAGTTTTAGTTATAGTCACCATTCAAGTGTATGTATTAAATAAGGTGGGAAGGCCTGTACTGAGCTTTTTGAGCCTTTTTCTGTCATTAGACTTTTAAAGTTAGAAAGTTGAATGAATTTGTATCCAAATGGTAATATTCTGACTGTTGTTTAACCTGGAGCATTATTTCTGTGTCTTAGGAAGCGGAATATGGTGGGCATGATCAGATAGACTTGTATGATGATGTCATCTCCCCATCTGCAAATAATGGAGATGCTCCAGAAGACCGGGATTACATGGATACTCTTCCACCAACTGTTGGTGATGACGTGGGGAAAGGAGCTGCACCAAATGTTGTCTATACATATACTGGAAAGAGAATTGCATTATATATTGGAAATTTAACTTGGGTGAGTAAAGTAACAAGAACTAAATTACAGGTATTGCTATAGCTAGTCTTTTTTGTCTGGAGCTTTAAAATAAAAATTCGAAGGTATTGTTTTTCTTTAAGTGTTTGACAAGCAAAATCAGGTGCCTTTCAAAGACCATTAGTTTCAATTCTGTTTGAATTTTATGTCCTTTCTTCTCACCTTGGTAGACATACCAGTTAAATGCAAATAGTTTTTTGTCTTCAATTGTTGTTCTTTATATTACTACTTGCTCACTTCAGATACTCATATTTACTAAGAAAAATGTTCACATAGGGTTTCAAATCAGGATTCAAAAGACATGAAAACCACTCATGGTCTTAAAATATTGTTCATTTTCTAATTTAAAATACTGACTTGTCATTCTTGTTATTTTGAAATCTGATTTATAAAAATACTGCTATGTACTTTGTATTTTAGTTTTGAGTTGTTTCATGAAACTTGAAAATTACTAAGAGCTTCATTAACTATATATCCAGTATATCTATTTGTATTAGCATTAAACCTGAAATATTCACTAAAGCAATCCTATAGAATTTTTCATCTCCACTATTATATTTCAAAGTTTGAATATATAGATCTAAAAGTCAAAATAAACCTCAGCACTTTTCTACTTTGTTGAAAACATTCACTTATTTTTTATTCAGTACTGGGAATTGAACCCAGGGATTCACACATGCTAGGCAGGTGCTTCTCCAGTGGGCTGCATGTTCCAGCTGTTTTTATTTTTTGAGACAAGTTCTTGCTGAGTTACCCACGCTGGCCTCATTGTAATCCTTCTGCCTAAGCATCCCTAATGGTTGAGATTACAAGTGTGTGCTCCTTGTAAATTTGTGTATCTAACTAAAAAATGTTTTACTTAAAAACATTTTTTTAGACTGACGTCAAACTTCCCACAATGCAATGTAAGCAGTCTTTGGAAACAGTAACAGTGTATTTATGAGAATGTAGTTGCTAAAGAATTTGAACCTTAGTTCCATCATCTTATTTTTGTGACTTAGTTGTTTGCCCTGTTTCCTCTGTGTCAAATGGGAATAATAGGGCTTACAGCATTTTAAGAGTTCTGTAGTTGATATAAAGTACATAGTAGGTACTAAACACATGTTAGCTTTTTATCTTTCCATTTTATATTCAAGGATAAGATGAAAATTATTTCAAACAGTGTTTTCCTTTAAAGGGAGGAAGTGACAAGTGAGATTGGTTTTATTGAGAATTTAAAATCATAGCAGTTTAAAGCTGGAAAGAACTAGAAACTCTTAAGAGTAAAAATCTATCTTACCTCTGAGGGTAGGTACCGTCTATTTCCAAAATTCTTATCAGGGAATGAAGTTAGGGTCTTTGTGATATTTTAAAAATTGGATGCTGACTGCTAGTAATTATGCTTAAATTTGCACTGAGCAATAATTTTCCCTTTATCTTGAGTTTACTGATAAAAGCTCCCATTTGAGCAATAAAAATTCTGGAGACAGTCTCAGTGGTTAATAAGGGAAACATGTCTTACAGTGGACAACAGATGAAGACTTAACTGAAGCAGTTCATTCTTTGGGAGTAAACGATATTTTGGAGATAAAATTTTTTGAAAATCGGGCAAATGGCCAGTCAAAAGGGTAAGAATTTGAGTTTATATTATGTTAGTAGCTTTTGATTATAATTTATAAAGTTAGTTTCCCTTGATGTTTAATTACAACCAGAACACATGATTACACTGGAGGATCTTAGGCAGAGATTTTTTTTTTTTTTTAAACACATACCTTGTTATTTAGCACGTAAAACTAGCGGAGTTGGTTGTGGACAAACTAGGCCTGCTTTCCTGAGTTTTCTCCATCTGTGGTTGAAATGACAGTTGATAGGTGTAGTAATCTGCCTGTGGTTGAGATGTGAGAAAATGGGCAACTGGAGAACAATGTGAGTAAGCTGGATGTATTGCTTTTTATTTTTGATTATAAAACTATAAATTAAATAGGTTCATGTGGGAACATTAAAAATACAGACATCCAAAGGTAAGAAAATGCAATAATGGCACCAACTGAACCATGTACATATTGTCACATATCTTTACTGTGTGTGTGTGTGTGTGTGTGTGTGTGTGTGTGTGTGTGTGTGTGTATAGGTTTTCCTTTAAAAAGTGTTAATACAATTTGCATGTTTTCAAAAGGTTTGGTACAGAGTAGAACAAATATTTAGCAATAAACACCCATCTCCCTTTCTTATATTTTGCTACTTTGGTGGTTTCCATTTTTTGCCTATCATAAATAATGTTTCAGCAGGTATAGTTTTATATAAACCTTGAGAAAGGTTTTTTTTTTTTTTTTTGCCAGTACTAGAGATTGAACGTCTTTTAAAAATTTGTTTAGAGGCAGTTCTTATTAAGTTGCTCAGGGTTGGATCAATCTTGGCTCTTCTGCCTCAGCCTCCCAGAGTGCTGTGATTACAGGCATGTACCACCACACTGGGCTAGATTTTTTTTAAGTGATAAATTATGGTATAGATAAATTAGGTAAAGTAAAAAATATGGTGGCTTTCTATTGCTTCACTTGTCCCAAGTCACAATCATCTCATCTTAGCAGTAGCTTTGAACTGACATCCCTATTGCCCCTCAATCTCCTGGGGTGTATCAGTTCCATATAGATGTTTTTCAAGGGCTTGATTTTAAGGTAATACTAGTATCCTGTTTAGGATCTTGGGATGGTTTGTTATCTCAGTGTTAATACCTTGGTCTGCAAGGTGATGCGTGATCTGTTCCCTTACCTCTTCTACTGTTCTACTTTTCTACTTGTTTGGGGTCATGTTAGTTCCTTTGCTGTTTTTTCAACAAATCTCTGTGTTAGAATTTTAGTGGTTTACTTTTCTTTACAAATATCCATCCACATGGCTCATTTTTATTTTCTTTTTCTGAAAGGGATCTCATTTGATCTTGCTTAGGCTGGCACTGAACTCACACCAAAGTACCCAGCTCCATGGTTCAATCTTTCACTTCTGTTAGGATTCAAACTATTATAGAGTTTTCTTTTCTGAACACTATAAAACAACAACATTATGTTTAATTCCTTTTTTTCTTATTTATTATCTTTCCTCACTGGATTATAAACTCCTCAAGAGCAGGGGTTTTGTTTTGTTTACATCAGCCTTAGAGTATTTGAGAATAAGAGCTGGTGCTCTGTGAATAATTATTTAATGAAGTTTTCTTTTTCCTTTTTCTGGTGCTGGGGATTGAATCTGGGGCCTTGTTTATGCTGAGTAGATGGATGCTTTACTGTTGAGCTGTAACCCAGCCCACTTAAATTGTAATATTGTGATTCAGATAATCCATTCATACATTTGCTAAGTAGAGTGAAGGATCTGGTCTAGGACCATATTGAACATTAGAGAAGAAAAAGTTTCTTACCTAATGAGACCCCCCTACCCCAGTAATCTAGGCTATTCTGTAATCATACTGATTGATAGTTTAGTTTTTAAATTATGTTGTTATTTTTCTAGAGTATTTTTCTTATAAGATTCATCCATTTAAAGTGTGCAATTCAGTGATTTTTTTAGCATACTGACAAAGTTGAGCAACCATTGCCACCATCTAATTTCAGAACATTTCATCACCCTCAGAAGAAACCTTGTGCCCATGAGCATTCACCAGTCTGCCCACCTCCCTGCTGACAACCACTGATGTACTTTCTGTCTTTGGATTTGCCTGTTCTGGATATCCTGTCTATTCATTTCTTGTAAATGAAATCGTACAACATGGCCTTTTGTGTCTGGCTTCTTTTGCTTAATGTAATGTTTTCAAAGTTTGTGTTGCAGCAGATATCAGCCTTTCTTTTACCAGCCTTTTTTAATTCAAATAATATCCCATTATATGAATATAACACTTTATTTTTAAATCCATCATCCATTAGATGAGCATTTGGATTCTTACTTTGCAGTTAAGGGAAATGTCCCTATAAATATTATATTTACCAGTTTTGTGTGAATGTTTGTGTTTGGTTTTATGGGCTATATACCTAGAAATAGAATTAAGTGATAACTTTCTTTAGCATTTTAAAGAATTGGGAATTGATAGCGATACTATTTTACATGCTCATCATTAATACATGAGAGTCCTAGTTTTTCCATATCCTCACTAACACTGTTTTTATGATTATTATAGTTATCTTAGTGTAAAAACAAGCCTACTGCCTATAAGCTGATGGATGCATTTTTAGAAAATACAGTATAGCTACCATGGAATATTGCTTAGTCACAAAAAGAAGTAGTACATTTAACATGGAAGAATCAAGTTACTATGCTAAGTAAAAGAAGCTGTTTATAAAAGAGGACTCTGTATAATCCTATTTACATGAAATTCTAAAGTAGGTGAATCCATAGAGACAAAGTAGATTCCCTGGGTTTGAGGGATGGGAGAAAATAGGAGTGAAGGCTGCTGGTGATGGGAGTTTCTGAGAGTGATGAAAATGTTCTAAAATCGGTAATTGTAGAAGTCGTGAATATACTGAAACTACTGAAATTGTACGTTTTAAATGAGTGACTTTTATATATTCTATATAGTACATTTTCATATCTGTTAATAGATGTGAGAGTATAAACATTTGTAGTTTTAAGAAGTATTTTTTGGGCTTCGAAGATAAAAATATATTTAGACCATTTCTTTTTTAATAACAGTAACTATTAGTTCCTTCTCAACTTTATGCCTCCACCCCTTTAAACCACCTCTTAGATTTGCACTTGTTGGTGTTGGATCTGAAGCATCTTCAAAAAAGTTAATGGATCTGTTGCCTAAAAGAGAACTTCATGGTCAGAATCCTGTTGTAACTCCATGCAATAAACAGTTCCTGAGTCAATTTGAAATGCAGTCCAGGAAAAGTAAGCAATCTCTCAGAGGCCTTTTTAAAAGATTTTACATTTTAAACAATACTGCTTGTGTTAGGTGTTATGCTAGAGAACTTACCTATTTACTGTTTACATATCTAGTAGTTCATTAAAGATTTTGTTTTTCTTATTCTTTCTTTAAAAGTCCTTGCTGTTACTTGATTTCATCATTGGTTATGACTATAGACCCTGGTCCTGTTACATTTTTCTGTAGATCTCACAGGCCCAAAAGTATATGATACTGTATTGCTGCCATTATTGTCCTATCCTTCCCATCTTAGAGAAAGAGGAAAACTGCATTTTAATCCTTAGCATGAAGGAAAGCTGTTGTGGATATATGTTACGTTTGCAGAGAGAACCACTGATAATCAGAAAATATTTGTTGGTTTTCTGATTGGCACCAAGACTTTTCGTTTTGTTTTCTTTTTGGTTTTTTGACACAGGGTCTTGCTATGCAGTTCAGACTGGCCTTGAACTCATTTTGTAGCCTAGGCTGGCCTTGAACTCACAGCGATCCTCCCGCCACAGTCTCCAAGTGCTGGGATTACAGGTGTGCGCCACCACATCCGGTGACACCAAGATTTTTCACCACTTGGTAAAGTGAATGTACAAAAGATATTACATACTTATGGATGTTAACAATTAACGAGATAGGTGAACGTATAATTAACAGAAATTCAAGTGGTTGTTTTCTTTTAATGGTTTAGTAGTTAAGACTTTAACTGAAGAATATATTGCAAAGTTTAAATGATCTGTACTACTGGAATTAAGATTTCTGTTGAATAGTTTATTGTCTTGGCTGCTATAGAGTACTGGTATTTTGAAAGTAACTCATTTACTCAGTGGAAATAACCTTTTTTTTTTTTTTTTTTGAAAAAACATTTATATCCAGTAAGACTTAAAAAGGGTGCCTACTTGGCAAGCACAAGATCGTGAGTTTGACCAAAAAAGGACTTAATAGATTTCAATATTTTCCTTATCAGTGATTCTCAAGTGGTTTGCACAGGCTCGAGACTTCTGCTAATTAATAGATAGTGTAAGTGAACTTTGAAATAAGAATTGTTTCTGTTAACAGTGGTTACATTTCAGAGAACTGTTTTAATGAGTGCTACTTAAGAGTATTTGGATGTTTGCAGCTACACAATCAGGACAAATGTCTGGGGAAGGTAAAGCTGGCCCTCCAGGAGGCAGTTCACGTGCAGCATTTCCACAAGGTGGTAGAGGACGGGGCCGTTTTCCAGGGGCTGTTCCCGGTGGGGACAGATTTCCTGGGCCAGCAGGACCAGGAGGGCCACCCCCACCTTTTCCAGGTAAAGCTTTTCTTATATTACCATAGATAAAATGTGTCTACCTAATATCTCTTTTCCTTTTCTCTCTTTTTCAAGTAATGTATTATTAATGTGACTTACTCTCCTTGTTATGCTATTTTTGGAATCCAGGAAATTTGATCAAGCATCTTGTTAAAGGAACTCGGCCTTTGTTCCTGGAAACTAGGATTCCATGGCATATGGGGCACAGCATAGAGGAATTACCCATTTTTGGCCTAAAAGGTCTTTATTTTTCTCCAAACTTGCTTGACTTATATATAGAATATATACATCCGTCTTATTTTCTTACCTCTTAAAAAACCCTTTCAAGACCATTTTTCCTTGTTCCACTTTCTAGCTTGGCATCAGAGTAGAATATAAGGTGGGTGATTTCAATGTAGTGTGTATACACTCAAAAATGGAAAATATCTCTAAGCACTGTAATTTTCGAAGTTTGTTTTCAGTATAATCTTTCTTAAACATAAATTGAACTATTTAAATTTATAAGGATATCCTTCACTTTTATTAGTTGTTAGTATAGCATTTGCATATGAGTTTCATTTAAAGAGAAAGAATCTTGGTTTTTAACTTATGCTATAAAATATGATCTTGGCATGTAAAAGTTAAAATATCTTTATTATTGAAGTATTTTTTTCTTTCTCTTTTTCTCTCCACCCCCCTCTTGTAGCTGGACAGACTCCACCACGCCCACCCTTAGGTCCTCCTGGCCCACCTGGCCCACCAGGTCCTCCTCCTCCTGGTCAGGTTCTGCCGCCTCCTCTAGCTGGGCCTCCTAATCGAGGAGATCGCCCTCCACCACCAGTTCTTTTTCCTGGACAGCCTTTTGGGCAGCCTCCATTGGGTCCACTTCCTCCTGGACCTCCACCTCCAGTTCCAGGTTATGGCCCCCCTCCTGGCCCACCACCTCCACAACAAGGACCACCGCCACCTCCAGGCCCCTTTCCACCTCGCCCACCAGGTCCACTTGGGCCACCCCTTACACTTGCTCCTCCTCCGCATCTTCCGGGACCACCTCCAGGTGCCCCACCGCCAGCTCCACATGTGAATCCAGCTTTCTTTCCTCCACCAACTAACAGCGGCATGCCTACATCAGATAGTAGAGGTCCACCACCAACAGACCCATATGGCCGAGCTCCACCATATGATAGGGGTGACTATGGCCCCCCTGGGAGGTAAGTTAGTATGTAGCAATGAAAATATTTGCTCGGGAAAGCGGGGGTGGGGGGGTAGGGAGGTGGGGCGGGGCGGGAATACTAATTCTGGGAAGTCTTCCAGTAACTGAGGCAGGAGGATTGTTGTGAGTTTGAGGCCACCCTGAACTACATAGCAAGACCCTGTCTCCAAAAAAAAAAAAAAAACAGAAAGGGAAAATGTAAATATAGCATTTCTGCCCTCCAAAAAGATGAAGTTTCTAAACAGCTGAAAGGTGTAAGAGAATTTTGCTTAGACTTACTATCTTTGTAGGATAAATAGCATACTTCAGTCTGGCAAATAACCATAAAGGACTTCTACTTTGAATTGGTTTTTACTGTTTTGAGTAACCGAAAAAATCTATTGAGTAACAATTTAAAATTTTCTTTTTATAGGGAAATGGATACTGCTAGAACTCCTTTGAGTGAAGCAGAGTTTGAAGAAATCATGAATAGAAATAGGGCAATCTCAAGCAGTGCTATTTCAAGAGCTGTGTCTGATGCCAGTGCTGGTTTGTATATTTTTCCAAGTATCAGTATTTCTTACTTATGTTGCATGTACTCTTTTCATATTGCCAAATCATTGCCTAAGACTTAAAAAGCATTGAAGAGAGCTGTATGTCACAGTGTATAATGGAAAGAGCCTCAATGCTAATTGGGTTTAGATTCTGATGTTGACATTTAATGGCTCAGAGACCTTAAGGCAGCTCATTTATTTATTTTTGTATTTGAAAAATGTTAACTTGTTTTACACAGCTATAACAACAAATCATACAGTTTGGGGCTGGAGATTTAGCTCAGCGGCATAAGCATCTGCCTTGCAAGTGTGTGGTCGTGAGTTCGATCCCTGGTACCAATAAAAAAAGAAAAAGACAAAAAAAAAATCATGCAATTTCATTAATATGAAACCCTTTGCAAATTTTGAAACACTTCTTAAAAAAAAGCATTAATCTTCTGTAGTCACTTTAAAACTTAATACTGTGTTGTACAATGCTTTTATCATTTTTATCCCTGAGTGATATAATGGCATTCAAAAGCAAAATTTGACATTAATGCTTTTCTTCTCCCCTACAGGTGATTACGGGAGTGCTATTGAGACATTGGTAACTGCAATTTCTTTAATTAAACAATCCAAAGTCTCTGCTGATGACCGTTGCAAAGTTCTTATTAGCTCTTTGCAAGATTGCCTTCATGGAATTGAATCCAAGTCATACGGTTCTGGATCGAGGTAAAACTTTCCTGTCTTAAGACTTTTTGAAACTCTAGTTAACAAAAGGAGAAAATACTATGGTTGGGTGGTTTTTTTTTTTTTTTTTTTTTTTGGTCTTTTTCCTTTACCAGGGATCGAACTCACAACTGCCTGCTTCCAAGGTGGCCGCTTATGCCGCTGAGCTAAATCCCCAGCCCCCTGTGGTTGGGTTTTAAAATAAGATTTTCATTTTACTTACTGTTTACTCAGCAGCAAGAGTGAATTTTTAATACTGAGTCAAATATCAGTTTATTTGCTTAAATATCCTTCAGAGGCTTCTACTTAGAGTAAAATTGTAAATGTTAAGGCGTCATTTGACTTCTCTTGCCTCTTAGGGTAAGATTTATGTTTTTAATCTCATACCTCTCCCCTTTGATCTTGCTTTTTTTTTTCTGGACACATCTAACTCTTGCTTACCTCACTGATTTCTTGATATTCCTTCTATGGAAACCCTTTTCCTGTCTGTTTACGTATATGACTTCATAGCCATTGTGTCTCAATTTAATCTCATTTTTTGAGTTGTCTCCCAAGTTAGTCTGTCATATCATTATATTTATTTATTTCATATGTTTCATACACTATAACTTGTTATTGGTGGCTTTTTCCTCCATTAGAAGATTTTCAGATGATGAGAATACCATTAGCTATCCTGTTCACATAGAACTAGATTTATATTTCACCATTGCTTGATACAGAATAAATGTTTTTTGAATGAGGGAGTTATGAGTGGATGGCTTATTGCTAAATAGTTTTTCTTAAATTCGATAGTTCTTTTTTTTTTTCAGCATTACTACTAACCTTGAAATCTTGATATTTAATCTTCACATGATGTTCTTAAACCTTCTTAAGTACTTTGTCTGGAAGTAGAGTCGTCTTCATGAAGTTAATGGAAAGAAGTTTGTCTTGGGCATGGCCTTCAACTTTGTTTTAACCCGTTTGACCCACTGTAAGAATCATTGTAACTGAACAGAGTTTTTTCATAGCTAAAGATTTTACCATGCATTGTCTTTAATATTTTAAGTTCAGAGCCAGAAAGCCTACCTTGATTGAGGAACTCAACACCTAATAATGTTTAGCTGTCTAGTTCAGAAATACATGAACTATAGACATTTGTAAATTTCTAAAATGCTTTTTAGATTTTAAACTTTGGTTAATTTTTTAAGGCAGTTCATGAAAACATTTCTACTTAAAAATACAATGGGTCTACTTAAAAATACAATGGGAATACAATACCAATCCTTTCAAATGATCATAATTATTAGTCATTTCTGCCTAAACATCTTCACACCTTTACACACATATAAACACAATTTCTTAGTGGAGTGTAGATAAATCATATTTTGGTTAGGTAGGAATGCAGAACAGACAGATACTTATATAAAGTAGTCCCATAGTGTCTGAAGGGATTGATTCTGGAATCCTTGACAATAACATAATCTGCCAATGCTCAAATCTTATATAAAATACTTGTTTATAATCTATATATATCTTCCCATATACTTTATTTTTTCCTGTCTCCTGCTGTTTAGTCCTGTGTGCTTTAATCTTCTCTTCTTCATTTAAAATAATTGATATAAAGTGCTGTATAGTCATTACACTATATTGTTTAGGAAGTGAAAAATTTGCATTTTCCCTAACAGTAGGTTTTTCCCAAATATTTTTAATCTGAATTCAGAGCCCATAGATACGGAGAGCCATCTGTATATATTTTGATAACTTACATTAATAGGTGGTAATACTTACGTATTTAGGACCCATTGTATATTGAATGATTTTTGTGAATTTTATACTTTAAAAAATCTATATTCTAGATATTAATTTGACATTTTGTCTGCTTTCCTGTTTATTCAGTAACATGTATGTTTTAGGATACTTATTTAAATAGGTGATATGCTATATTTCCATATGTTTTACTCAATTTTTTGACAGATACATTTATTGATTTATGTAGTCTTCTTGAGATATGGTCTCGCTATACAGTTCAGGCTGACCTTTGGCTCACTTTGTAGTCCAGGCTGGTCTTGAAATGATCTCCTGTTACAGCATCCTGAGTGCTGGCATTATAGCAGTGTGCCACTATGCCCAGCTTGGCAGATATTTTTAAAAATGAAATTTTGGGTTTATGCTTATTGATGATTTGGTAGTCATCAATAGGACAGGATAGACTCAACTGTGTCACAGAATGTTTTACTGCCTTAGATTTTTTAAAAAATTTATTTTATTCACACATTTATAATACACAATTATGTTCCTTATGGAGAATTGGCATATGACATAAAAACCAAGACCATTTCCCCTCATGTTCACAACACTGTTGTAAGACCCCAGTGAGTTCCTGGAATCCCTGATATACTGAACTATAAATCAGTGACATCTCTGTCTTAACTAAGTGCTTACCCACACTATGGCTGTAACTCTTGCATTTTAGTATTACCACAAAAGTAGCACAAATTTCGTTTTACAATTTCACAGCTTCCTACTGTAGATCTCAACAACTTCAGTAATGATTTTTTTCTTTTCCTATGAAATCAAGAACTTTTTTTGCCTTTTCACTTGAGGAACCTTATCAAAATTTGCAAACAGTACTATTGCACTTTGGGACTACTGTTAAGGCAAACTAAAAGTTACTTGGACATGAGCACTGCAAAACCATAACAATCTGTCTGATAACTGAGGTAGCTACTAAAAGATTAATGAGCAGGTAGCATATACATGTGGATATGATACACCAAAAGATGATTAGTATCCCAGGCAGGATGAAACCAAGACTGAGATTTCCTCACTTTATTCAGAATGATGTTGAGTTTAAAAGTTAGTTTATTTTTAGAATTTCTCATTAATTATATGAGACCATGGTTAACTGAGTAAGTGAAACCACAAAGCAGGGGAGAAAAACTGTACTCAGTACCTTTTCAACTATCCAATTATGGGGAGCATTAATCCAGTAATTTCTTTTAGAAGACGTGAACGATCAAGAGAGAGGGACCATAGTAGATCACGAGAAAAGAGTCGGCGTCATAAATCCCGTAGTAGAGATCGTCATGATGATTATTATAGAGAGAGAAGCAGGGAGAGAGAGAGACACCGTGACCGGGACCGAGACCGTGACCGGGAGCGTGACCGAGAGCGAGAGTATCGTCATCGTTAGAAGGTAGGTATTCTTGTTCCTGTTACGTTTAATGTGAGTATTATTAACAGTGATTATAACTCCAGGGCTGTTGTTTATACAGTATATACCTACATATTAAATGGTCCAAGTACTTGTTCTGAATTTAATCATCTGGAAACACCTGAGACAAATAATAGGTAAGTGATCACAGGTAAAAATTTTGACATCTTTTCCTTCAATATTCTGTTGCTGAGTTATCAGTTTTAGGTTTCAGATTGTTAATGGTCTTAAAGCAAGAAAAATAATCAAGAGGACTCATTATGCACTTCTAAAACCTGCAAATTGGAATTTTTGCATGTTATTTAAAATGCTTAAACAGGGAGTTCAGATACAAATAATGTGCTTGGAGTTTTAAAAATAGTTTTTATATTGCCTTCACCTAATTTTATTTGTTCCTAAAACTTGTAAAGAAAGTCTAACACTAATAGTTTATAAATATAAGAGAATGTTTTGTCAACTTTGAAAGAGGTTTTTTCTTTTAAAAAAAAATACTTCTAGAAGAGGGACTGTGTTCCTGGCACCTAGTTTTTGTTTTAAAAGAAATATTATCCTTAATTTGTAAAGAAAACGTAAGTTACTAAATTAAAATGGGTTCAGGTTACATATTTCAAATTTTTAAATTGTATCAAACCATACATCCCCCATTAGAATAACCTTGAAATAATTTTCTTTGATGTTTCATTCATAAATCATAATCATTGTCTTTTTTTTCTGTATTTTACAACTATTTCTTGTGAACATTTTTCATAAAATGGGAGGAGTTGTCTCTGTTTATACTTCATTTTCACATGTGATTTTATTTTTATATTTGTGAACAGCATTTATTCATGTGAAGGGGAAACTGAATCTTGTGCATGTGACACAGAGATTACAAAATATTTTTTGTAAGCAAAAATATTTTTTCTCCATATGTTGATGGCATATCCACACTGAATTAGGCTTAAAACAAACTCCACATAGATAAATAATCTTTATGTGATTACTTTTAGTAATCATGGAAGACAGTGAAAATTTAGTCACTGGTGACTTGTGAGTATCTAAATTGTGATAGGCAAAATCACAGGCTTCATCACATCGTGTGTAACTGACAGAATAGCAGTTTCTTTAGCTATAACATACATACTAGCAAATGACTCATTTTGAATAATACTTATAGCAAGAAAGCATGTAATATCTTATTTTTATGAAACACCAATAGCTGTTTTACTATTTGTAATTTTAAAGGCTTTTTGAATTGAGAAGGCCCATTCTGATACTTACTGCATTTTGATTATACAGTTTGAATATGTATCAAAAATTTTTATGCAGTTCTCTATGGATTGTATTAAAAATTTAATGTCTCGAAACATTTTAATATGAGACAAAGCATCTTCCATTTTTAAAACTAATCTTACTGAAATTGGTAATTGCTTTTGGATGTAAAAATAGTGTTGTATCATGTAAATTAAAGTAAATCTGAGCTTAAATTTTACTGATGTAGCTTTGTATTCCTGAGTTGAATAATCTTAGCTCATTAAATTATTAGTGTTCAGTAGTTGTTTATGGTGAATTGAGGCCAAGTTGTTATTTGAAATGGTTAACACTGTAGTCATTTGTATTATGGTTACAAGTTCTGTAAGTTAGTGTTTTAGGCTTTCCTAAGTTATCAACTTTAGTTACTGAAGACATGATACTGAAATTTGAATACATCTTCAGTCATCTCCAAAATTGATGTACCATGTTGCCATCAAGGGTCTTCTAAATCAGTTTATACTGGAGATTAGTGACAGTTTTCTTACTGGTTTTAGTAAAACTAGCATAGTTGACAAAAAAGTTCGTCCTGAAAATCCATTGTTAATTTTAAATAGCTTGAATATACATTCCAGCATAAGTGGACCTAATACATCATGACTTGAGTTTCATTACATTCAGACATTAACTATGAATTCCTCATGTGAAAACTATTGTTGACATTTTTCTTAGTCACTGATGTATCATACCAAAATTCCCATGTTTTGTTTGTACATTAATCAGAGTTGAGTTGTAATATTGTATGCCTTCATCCAAGCAAAATTTTACATAAATCTTTCCAATACAAAAAAAATGGTTGTCTTGGATTATTGTATCTTTGCTATACCAAACAGTATTTATTGTGGAACTAGATATGAAATGGGGTGGGGACTGATATTAAAGTGAAAAACTATTTGCAGATTTTGTTACTATCATAATAAGGTCTGTTGTTGACCTCTTTAAAAGTTTTTAAATATGAGTCCTTTTGAGCTTTCATGTAAATCTTAAATGTAGTGAGTGAAATAAGAATGACTTGAAAGCTAAAATGAATGTCAGTAAGTTTGTACATAAACATATGATAATGTAATCTGTTACTAAAATGATGATGAATGGCTACAAGGGCAAGCCCGTAATTTAACTGGAAATTTAATGATGTTGGCAAACTGTTAATGTCTGTCCCATCTTAATTTTTTTTGTGTTTGAACTGTTGAATAATGTTAATTACATTCTCATTTAAAAATGTATTAGTTTTTCCAGAAACATTCAGTATATAAGTTCAAATAGATTCTAATTTAATGACACAATATCAGTATTGTAAATTTCAGTATGTAAATACATTGTGCTTCGTATTCTGTATTTTTTTGCCTCTATTCTGAGACCACTCTGAGCAAAATAAGTGATTTTAAATTGTACGTGTCTTACAGAAATAATTTTACCTTCCTAGTTGAGTTATTTTAAGGTTGTGTTCTTACTACCTATGGGATAGTACTACTCAGGAAATTTGTGTTGTTTATTTTTTATATTGAAGAGTAATTATTTTTAAAATACTCATTTACTCAGTTTTCCTTCTCCCCATATGAAGTTTACATATTCTTAAATCATTATACGTTTATCAATAAATGTCTTGTGTATGGGGATCTGGATTAAGTAACCATATTTTCTGGACTGTGATCACTTCTATATGTATCATGCTGTTAGAATTTGTTATTACTACACGGGATTTAAGATGCTTTGTATTGCTTATTCAGCTTCTTATAGTTTTGTGTTAATTGGGGTGAAAAACAAAAATGCAAAAGAGTAAAAAGTTCTTTACTAACACATTAAAAGACATTACATCTCCTTAGGAATTAGTGTTACATTGAGGCTTTTGCGAAAATCAGATTGTCTTCATTGCCTGGTGAATGATGATTGGTTGTATAATAATACTTAAAAATTACTTCTGCAACTCTTAGATCATCTGAGACCTGCCTCATAAATTTTAGTTATGTTTCCTTGTGTTTACCCTTACATTGTAACTACAGTTTCATCTGGATATGCTAGCTTTTCATTACTTGAGCTCTAATTTCCTTGCTTTTAGTAGTATTTGCAAACCTGTGTCTGACTATACCGCTATCTACTTAGCAGTGACAAGAGAGAGTAGGAAGTAATCCCCTGAATGGATGATGTGTTTTGCTCACTGTGGTTGAAGAATATAGTTTTGTTTATAAATGATTAATACTTTGTTTAAAAACATTTAGTGCTAATGTGAGTCACTTTGCTCTCTCACGTTCATTTCAGTGTGAAGTTTACTACCGGTATTTCAGTTTGTAACTTAGATTTTGAATAATGTTTGAATGAATGTTTAGTTAGTATTGTTTAAAGAAAACCTAAAATAACCAGTAAAGGGTAAGGGTACCATTTGTGCTATACAAATTTATGAGTTTGCCCTCTGTGGTAGAATGTTTGAACTGTCACAGTGGATTCTGAATACCAAATAGCCTATTTTGAAATGTCCATCTTACGAATCTTTTGGAGGCAAAGCTGATTTTTTTTCTTTGTGATGTAGTTTATTTCTATTATTTAATGGATTGCCTAGAGCAAGTTATGTAAATGTTTTATATTGAGTGAGAAAATGGCTTTTTGAAATGAGGTAAGTACTATGTCCATAGGTAGAAAGATTACTGTGAAGTGTTTTGATAGCAAGGAACTGTTTGTAAACATCTACAGTAAGCAGAATGGCTTTCATGCCATGTGTTGTAAGAAGACTTTTTTTATCTTAAAGAGTAAACGTATATGTAGAGACTTGTTTCTCTTGCCCACTTTTTTTTAGTCCTTTAAGAAGTAATTTTCAGATAGAGAATAGTAAATTGTTTCATTGAATTAAAAACAGCATTATTTTATGTTTACATAAAAACCCTTTTAATTCAATATATTATTGTGAAAACCTGTAAAAAAGCTCTATCAAATTTATATTTGTCTTAAAAGATGACTACCATGACTTTACATACTAATGCTGACAAATTTGCTTAGGTAAATTTCTAACAGAAACACCTAAAATTTGGGTGTAATACTGACTTGATGTTATATCAGTTATCTCAAAATGCAGGCACTTGACATTTTACTTGATGCTCACATTAGTGTACAGACATTGGGAAGTCTAGATTCCATTTGTCATCTTAGTGCTTTAAACAGCTGTTCACACAACTTCCTTTTATAACTGATAGCTAATTCAAGTAATTGCGTGGCTTTGACATAGATTTGATCAAACGATTTTCTGAGAACATGAGCATTGATTGTATTTGTTACTTTTAAGTTTCTTTTTGATATCTTTGTTTATGTAGACTATCTTTTTACATATTTGAGACTGTTAACATGGATTTGGATTATTGGAAATGGGTTGTATTGCCTTTAAATTTGCTTCCTTTTGAGACTGTAAACTTTGTGTATCCAGGTGGATAAATAAATGTAAAATGTTTAGAAATAGAAATGACTATCCCCCAAATTTTATATCTGTATCACAAAAATTAGGATTAATAGTAAAGACTTTTCTATAAAATATAATCAAGCAAGAAATAAGATGTATATTGTGACTTGATAAATAGGATTCACTATATAAAAAGCAGTAAAATTCTCTGTTGGAATAAGATACAATTGTATATAACAATTTTTTTGGAAGAACTGAATATTTTTGTGTTGCTCACTCATTTTAAATAAGTTTTCCTTAGTGACCCTCTTTTTTATTCTTTTCAGCATAACAAAAAAATTAAAGAAATAACATGCTTTCATAGCAAGGTTTATTGATTTCCTCGTTTTATAATTAGAACATATGCTTTATGTAAGACTTTTACCAGCTTTTTAAAGTGCCTTGCTGGGCTGGAGGTATAGATTAGTGGTAAGCCTCTTGCTTAGCACAGCATGTGGTCCTGGGTTCAGTCCCTCAGCTAGCTAGCTAGCTGCTAGCTAAAAATTAAGCAGACAGATAAATAATCCTAAGTGCTAAGCAGTTGAGAGCTAACATTTTGCATTTTTTGAATTAAATCCACTAAATAAGCTTTGTCAGCATAAGATGAAAATAAAAGGTAATACTAGAAATAGTTTAGGTATCTCTTTGAAAAATACAGGTTATAGAAACTATCTAGAAAAAAATCCCCGATTTTAACATTTGGTTTTTTCCTTGTGTAATTATAAGGTCTGAGTTTTTAATTGCTAGGCAGTGTGAATGAGTGTATGTACTGATGCTCTAAATACGTTTTCAACATAGGGAAAAAAGAACATAAAGAGATAAAATTTATAATTGTGTTAGGAATTACTCTTAGTAGCAGAGCAGCAGGTGCATTAGTGTATACCGTGATCCTGGCACTTTAGAGGTTGAGGCAGGAGGGTTGCTATGAGCCGGAAGCCAGCTTTGGCTGTGCAGTGAGTTCAAGCCAGCTTGAATTTTATATATAGCAAGACTCTTGTCTCTCCTCCCCGCCCCAAATTTTGTATTTGTGGCAAAGGATCACTGAACATTGTGCTCTTTAGACTCTTAAGTCACTTTTCGAATGCCCTCTTGGAATTTATATTTTAAATAGCTGTTGTTTATTTAACATTTATATGCAAATTAATTGAATGTCTTTTGTGAACTTCTACCTGAAGTTTGCTTATATATGTATTTTTTGCAATTTTAGTTTATCAGCTTTCCTTTTTTTTTTTTAAAACTTTATGTGAGTTTTCAAATTTTCAATGAAATTTATCATTGTAGATTCCTAGTTAGCTTGTTTTTGGGTAGTTTATATGAATATTGGGTATTTCATTATAGGTGGAATAGAGTGAAAGTTAATGTCTCAAATTGTATTCTGTCTAAAGATTTGTATGTGGATGTCATTTATTTAAATGTCTATACTGAGTTTTCTCTATAAATTTTGTAACATGGAGAACTATTTGATTTATATCAATTGCAGAAGTTCCTGTATGCTGTGAAATAAACAATTTGTAAAATTTATTGCATTTTATATTCAGCTCAGCACTTGTTAAATGAGTTCATATAGAATTGATATGTGGGTGATTGAAAAGTATCTACATTAAAATCATCCAAGCATTTTCCATTTACTTTTGTAGTATGCATATTTTTAGAAACTGACTTATGACTGTTTCCATCATCACAGAAACAGTAGCTGCTATATTTTCATTTGTTTCAGTCATTAAATTTGAAAGACAATATTTAAGAAGAGTGAAATCAGAATGTCTCATTTTGAATCATCAGATGAATTGGGAGCATTTCTCCACCAGATAGGCAGCTACTGTTTCAGTTAATTCTTATTTTGTGTTAGAATACGTAACAGAGTAGATGCACGACTTGTGTATGTATAGTTAAGCCAGCGTTTTTCTGTGTATTATGGGGAATAGCAAAATCTACATCACAAATTTTGACACATTACAGCTGAAGGAAGAGGAATACCTTCAAGATAAAAGTCTTCATGGGGGAAAAAGTGACGCTTGTCCAGCAGTTTGCTTCTTGTGATTGAACTGAACCTGTAAGGATTCATGGATAAACTGAACAGGAATAGATCTGAATAAAGCAAATCTGCATAAATGGTAACCAGTAGCTCTACTTTTATTTTTTATGTTGCTTAACTGTTTTATTTGAAGGAAACCTGTGTGATTTAAAAAGTTACTAGCTTTTGCAACTTTATTACTGGTTATATACATTTGGCCATTATAATGTGCAAGCAATTGGAAAAACAAAGTCAAGTAAATGCTTGTTTTTATAGTAGTTTGTTCTTGTTAAAAATGTTCATATGATAATGTCTGTAAACAGCACCACTTTGATTACAGTAGATGTAGTGTTGTAATAAACTGTTTAATGGGGCTGATGTGTAAAGCTGTTCAAGTTATTTGATGTTTACACCTCAGGGAAAGTCTTGTGTTCAGCAATATCTAAAGATAATGTTACTATGACAACATTTTTACTGTCCTTTAAAAAAAAGCATTGCAATAGCGTTTTTGGATATGCATCAATCTATTCATGCGTTCAGTGAATTAAACATAACTGATTAATGTCTCTTGCCCTTGATTTTGATATTAGAATAGGTGGTTACATGGATATTTAATATTTCTATATTCTGCTTTTCTAGCTGTTTTTACCTAGTTAGCTTGTGACTTTGCTGAATGGTATAAACTTGTAAAAACTTAAAACTTGACAGACATAGCAATCTAGTCAATGTTTTAGGGGTCAAAAAAATTTGAAGTTTTAACATTTTAGTAAAAACTCATGTATTTGCTATGGTAGTGCAGCTAATGACAACACATATACACAGTTGAGAACTGCTGGCATTGAAAGACAGATTTGATAATTCTAATTGATCTAGAAGTATTTGGTGTTTCTTATTGATAATGCTTATGGTTTAATTTTGAAACCATAGGTAGTGTAAATACAGCCATGCAGCAGATTCATTATGAATAAGGAGAGCCTTAGTTTTATTTCCTCGTTGGTACAGATTTCTGAAGGATGTGATGCTTGTTAACACTAGATGGTGTTCTACATTGTGAATAATGGGAGATTATAGGTATCTTCAACAGTTCAAGGAATTCTATGTATGTTCATGCAACCTGTTAATTCATGCTAGAGTTAAAGATTTTTTTGTACCTGCCTTATGTAGAGACCTATATTAAAAGCACCTGGCTAGCATGTGTTCTTGCAAAATTAGCAGAGGCAGACTGTCAGTTTGACTAGATATTTTTATAGGAAGGTAACTGTGAATCACTTAAAAAATTTGAGTTAAAGTCTTCAATTTGTTTTTAATATATTTTTAAGATCTAATGATCTTTGAGAGACCTGATAGCATACATATAGGTTTTTAAAGTATAAATAAATTTTGGGACAGTATGAAAAGTATTTAGGAATCTTACATAATACATAATGTTCAACTGTAGAAGTCCTCTAAAAATGTGCACTGCCACTGTTCATTTTCATCTTGTCTACTATCAGACTACTCACAGTTAACGATTTCAAATTATCCATATTACTGCCAGCTTTATTTTAAAAACATTTCATGAGTAGAGCACTTGCGCATAGGATCATTGCTATTTACTATAACTGTTCACTCTCAGAAACAATTTTTGAAGTGTTTTATCTTAATGAAAATGCAGTTGCCTTTTTAATATTATTCAAGAGTAGTATCAGAATCTTCTTGTTTTGTGTATAGATGTTGTAAGTTTTATCATTTTTTTAGCTTTTGTATATTTTAATGACAATACCCTCCCTATGTTGAAGACGTTTGGACATATGTATAACACAAGGGAAATTAGTTAATAGTAATATTTAAAGGTAAGTAAAATGTCCACAAGAATAAAAATATCTGTGAACAATTTTAAAATGGAATCACAAAACTATATTTGAAAAGAAACTGGAAATTTTGTACTGGTTTAATTTTACATTTAGCTTTTTATTTTTTTATCAGTGGAACTCTTTAATTGTTCTATCTATATCACTCTTCTCCCTGTTTGGCTGATTTTATTATGTGATTTTTGTTTTAGAGAGTCTGAGTGTACTAAAATTGTTTGCTGCTAGTCCATTATTTTAAATGTTGTCAGGAAGAAATGACTTGTTGGTCTGACCAAGTAATTTTGCAAAATACTTCTTTACCTGATAGAACATGAATGTATAGCAGTAAAGGTAAAAATTTCAAATCTTGTTTTATTTGTTATACCCTGTCATCGTTCATAAGCTGATGTTATTTGAAAAAAAATTTTTTAATGTGTAGAAGCAATCCAAAGAGATACATCTTTGCAAAGACACCAAAAAAGAAAAGAGCTTTTGTGTCTTAGAGACCTTTTTATTTTTTCTTCATTTATAATAACATTAATGGATATGAGAACAAATGAGTTGAATTTTAAACCATAGCATTTATTAGTGCTGTTCAGTCACATTCCTTTCAGCTAGCAGTAAAATTATGGATGAGTGACAGCATCAGAATGGTGTTGCTTCTGAAGAAACACTTTGAACTGAATGTGCTGGCTTTAATTAAAGAAAGTATGTTATAGAAAGCATATTCCAGTGTAAATTTGCAAGTGTTTATTTTCATAAGCAAGATTTGGAGTAACTTGCTATGACTTGATCATAGATTAGCCCATTTACTGACCCTTTACCTAGAATGTTCTTAAGCAGTTAATTATAACTTGGAGTTCACAAATAATGTGTAGCGTAAGTTATTATTTTCATTTGATTCTCCTATGGAGAATGCTGTTTTACTTTTTACTAGTTAAAGTCAGTTTTAAAAGTAAAATTGGAGGTTTAATGAATGTTGTATAATATTTTATAGTGAAAGGGGGAAATTGCTGAAAGGGTAAAGAAGTTTTCTTTCCCTTATGTATTTAAATGTGCCAATAACCTAAATACATACTGTTTTATACAATGAGATGCTACTATAAGACTTTTCTGTTGGCTCTTGGCATTTTGGTTTTCATAACTGATTGGTCATTGCGTTTTCTGTATCATAAAGTGACTCCAATTTTGTGTTTTGAGCTTTGGCTTAAATTATTTTAGGGGAAAAATACTATTTTAAAAGGAAGATTATGTCCTGATTCTTTATTGAGTATGCAGTATTGAGATCCTCTCTGTTCTACAGATAACTGCGTTTTAAATTTTATTCACTACATCCATTGCATCCCATAGCTCTCTGTAAATGATTCTTCCAGTTGTATGTACTTAAATGCACGCTTATCCATTGTATATATTAGACATTTTTTGTGCTAAGATATATTAAGTGAGATTTTTGTAGCAAAGCATTCTATTTTTCTGTTTTAACGGTTTGTGTGTTTGTTGTTGTTTTTTTTTAACATTAACCTTCAGTTTATAAACACTGGTGTATTTTTTTGTTTGTTTGGTTTTTAGTAACTTGACTCTTAGAAGCCTTAGACTTTTAAAATAATACTCAGCCAAAAATTTTAAGTTTATTCAGATGTGGCCTTACATTGACATTCCTTGTGTTCATAATGTGAGACTTTTTATTTAAAGAAACCAAGATACAGGATTAAAGTTTGATCTTAAGTTGAAAGAAAAAATGTGTTAAAATGTCTAGGCTTCTGGGACAAAGTTCTTGTATTCTTCT